CTCTAAAACTAGTGCTCTTCAGCTTGTGCTGTTTCCCTCACAGTAAGAATTCCCCTCTAGTGTTGTGACTGTGGGGAGCAAAGGCCACTGGGATGAGACTGGAAAGCCTAGAAGAAGAAGAAGAAGAATAGAAGAATAGATCTTTATTGTCTGTTCATATTGAGCAGAGATTTGTCTTTCAACACGGCACTATTCAGGATGCCGTTACTGCTCCTCAGCCTAGCCTAGCATTTCGTTTAAATACTACATTATACATAATGTAAGCATTATGAAAACTGTTGCACTCAGTGAGCTTCAGTAGCATAAGAGAGAAGAGAGGATCAGAGGGAGAATCATATGAAGACAACAATCATTAATGCATTATTATTATTATTTTCTTCTACAGAATCTGTAGCTTTTCAAAGTAGCTTGAATACGTGTTTCACTATATTGCATCTCAATAATACAGACCGGTATAGAGTCAGGAGAGCTTCAAGGGGAAGATAATGTCTCAATTTGAGAGATAGACCAGCATATTTAGACTAGTTTATTCATTTGGTAATCTATGTGGTTTTTTAAAGTTAACAATTCATCCAAATATATTAATACAAAAAATATGTTCTCTACACTCTCAAGAACTTTTCCATTTTTTCTTCCTTCATTTAATTCAATTCAATTCAATTAAAGGAGCAGCGTGTACAATATCTGTCCAAAAATGGTACTGCAACCTCTCCCACTCTCCCTGACTCAGGTTGCCAGATATGCAGACAAATCCAGCTGGGACCATAATATCTGAATATATAAAAGTTTTGTCAGCAACAAATCTACAAACACTTTTTTCACAAAGGCCCCGATAGAAATCCTCATTGTATTCCATGTTTTGTCTTTAATGATTTGAGAATCATAACAAGACCTTTTTTAGCCCCGCGGCCACATGCTATTTTACAGGTGAGATCAGCTCGCCGTAGGGAGTTCTGGCAACCTGGATCTCGGTCCTTCTGATTGGTAAAACGGTGGAGTGGGGGACATCGAAAAGAAAGATTCAGGGGCTGGAAAACTAATTTTGAAATTTGAATAGCTTGGCTGATCTACTATTATCAGTTAAAGAAGTATTCGGAAAGAGCATGGTTTATTAATGCCTTTTGACATATTACATATTGTTACTTTTAATAATGTTTTGTAAAAATTAAACTGATCACATCCAAATTGAGTTGTGAATGTGTAAATGCAAACCTTTGTCAGTTATGGTTCTGTTTTTGTCTGGAGAAAACACTTTATTTTGTGCCTGATACTACCTATTCAAATTGTGTCTCCTACAAATTCATCTCTGTCATGGTCCCTGTGTTACATTTATTCTGCGCTATCCATCCATCCACCTCGAATGGATTTGATGAACGACGTGGTGACACTTTATATTCACGTGAGCCACCCTTCCTCTGCTCTGTGGTTCTGTTGAGGAATGTGGTAGCTCTACAGTGCCTCCTGGTGGCGGATGATAGCAGCGGCTCCTATTTCAGCACCATGGACAGCGCCCGCGTGAAGGAGCTGGCAACTAATGGACCATTTTAGTTCCTTCAAGAGCAGCATTTATTACACAACATAAATCGGGTTAATAACCTACTTTAATAACCTGTTCAATATTTAATCAAGCCATCCCACAAAGGTGCCACACTTAATATATTGATTTTTGGCAAAACTGTTTTATGAACTAGGCAACTTGGTGATTGAAAATTTAAATATTTAAAAAAGCGAATAATAGTAAGTAAGTAAGTAAGTAATATTTATTTATATAGCGCATTTTACAGACCAAGGTGACCCAAAGCGCTTTACAATGTTCAAAGTCTGTCCTGGTGGCGGATCCTCTTCTACCTTGGGTAAATTTAAATGGTGGTGTTCTGCCTGGATATTAAGACAATTTTTCAATAAACGTTCCTTTTAATCATTCCCTTTAATCATCAAGTTATATCTGCGGAGAGGCGAGTTTTAAAACAACAGTCATCCATAAGTGAGGCATGTACATGTTTTAGATTAAATCGCGGAACATTTCAAGCAGAGCAATAGCACGTTCATCACAAAAGGCAGGTCATCACCAGGACTGTTGAGGAATTCACCTTTGAAACAGATATGAAGAGAGAGAGAAAACAAAGTTTGTTTGAAGATGGAAAGGTAATAAAAGCTGTTTTTATTTGAGTGTTTAATGTCATATACAGTATGTGCTATAGTTTATGTTCATGTTCTGGAAAATAATTGGATGGGAGGTGCGCGTATTACATGGGAAAGTATATTACAAAGGACTTCTTATTTAAGTCCTTTGTACTGGCCCTAACCCTAACTTAAAGTCATGGATGTTTTTACTTCTAGACACCTTTATGACAAAGAAGATACAGAAATTTGTGGCAGTTTCATATGGATCATCCAGGGAATTACATAGAAATTAGCTCTAAAGTAGCTGTCTCCAAGCTATTTTACTCTGAGGGTCAAGATGATTACTAAGAGAGGCCGAGAGCCAAATTGTTTCATGTTTTTTTCAAGAATGGGCCAATTTGTTTTAGATTCCATTGGTTTCATAATTCAAAGTTTGTCTGCATCTCACATGGTTATATTTTCTCTATATGTGTTTATTTGTTTGAATTATTAAAGTATTTTGACAGCATTCCCTTTATTTAACATGAGTTTGAATATCGTGTGGAGGCACGTGTCGTGGCATTCCATAACCTCTTACCACCGCTTTCATATCTGAGAATGCTTTTGACTGTTACAACTAGGAATTGTTTTAAAGTATAGGCTCTTTGCATTGTCGCATTATCACAACCAGTATAGCAACTTTTTTGTATTCATCACAGCAAGTTATATAATACATTTACATCTATACTACTTATACCCAAGTACACACATTATTCTGTTGTGAAAAATGTTCTCTTTGTGAATTATAGAAGCTGATAATAACAATGGCCTTGGTTGCTGCTCGGAATGTGTGAAATATGTGCAGCCCAGAGTTTGATTAGCCTGGAGGCGCAGAGCAGCGGGGGATTCATGCACTGCCAACAATCAATGAGCGAGCCGCCAAGCATGCCAATCACTTTTATTGGTTTTTACTTGCTTTGTGTCATCACATGAATCATCCCGCACCAATATAACATCACCTTTTGTACCGTTTTGGAAATAAGCAACAATGCACACGTCAATTTGGCTGCAGTTTTTTTTGACTATTACAAAGTGATGTTAGTTTCTTTGGTGGATTTGTGTTGCACATTGAAACATTAGTGATTGATAGTTACATTTGAGCTTTGACGGATTTAAGACCAAAGTCAGGGAAGGCTGTATTTGAGGCCTCATTAGGTGTATGAATACCTTTTTGTACAACACTGAGACAAAAACGTGGAGGAGCTTCAGTTTGAGCAATAAACTTCATGGTTGTCTCCATAGAAACTGGACATCAGCCTCCTAACGGCCACAACCCCTCATTACAGGTGGTTAAAGCAGGCAGATGCTTCACAAAGAGACCAAAAATAAACATATTCTTACAGACACCCCAAGTCTACGGAAAAGTACAATTTATTTTTGCACCATTCGCAGAAAAAAAAACCTATTGGTGCAGAAACATAAATCCCAGTTACAACATCAGTGACAGTGCATCTTCAGCAAGATAGCAGAGCTCAAAAGAAGAAGTACAAAAACAAATAATATGAACTACATCAAAATATCAACACCAGTAAAACAACAACAGTTTTGGGATTAAAAAAAAAAATCAAACAGATGCTGTGAAGCCATTTTTATAAGACAGAATTTGACACAGAATAAAAGCACATAACATAACACATAACAGTGGCATTTTAAACAGACGCGTTCACCGTTCAACAGCAATGGCACAGGCATGTCTAACGAGTTCACCCCAATACCACTGCAAAGTAGAAGACATTCAAAGCTAATAAATATCCGTGAGAACACCTTAAAGCTGAAATGTGTTATCTGATGAACAGTCTGTGCAACATGTAAAAACAAAAAATACGCGGGTAGAAACAATTCCATAAAAGATAAATTTTTTTGCTGTGATTGGCAAATACAGATCAACTCAAACAGGAACCCCCTGTTATATAATGTAAAAATAAGTGTTTTTAAAATCCCCTTAGAGTGTAACAGTTTGTATGCAGCCTGCTTGGATCTTCTACAGACCTATAGACCTGTTCGAAGGCTTTGGATGGGCAGAGAAAAGAGTCGAAAAAAAAGTAGAAATCACAACGAAAGCATGCTGCACCCTTAAAGACGGCACAGTGAGGCTTATTTACAGCTCAGCCGTTTGTTCAACCGTCGTGTTGGCTCAAACTGTTGTCGCATCTGTGTGATATGTTCACAGGGCAGTGTGTGTGTGTGTGTGTGTGTGTGTGTGTGTGGTAGTGTAAGGTGCTTTCTTAACCTTTTAGTAGGACTGCACTGAAGTTTAAAAAGTCCTCTCAGATTCAGAAATATCTGTTAACCAATGAATACAGAGAGACCTAATGATAATGTTTACATAAGTGTTTACAATCAACACTTTTCTTTTTCCTTTACACATACTAAAAATACAATCTATACCGAATTAAACAAACTGTACAGCCACTACTTTTCCATGTCCATTGCCTCACTTCCACTTCCCCATTATTTTATGTCACGTGCGACAAAGGCGTTTCGTTTTTGCAATTGCTCCAACTAAAGTCTAACTATAACTTCAATATACAGTTTATATGGCTTTTGCACAAAAATGGCTCCTCTTCCCTTTCCCCTTTAAGGTAATACTCAAAAAAACAACAAATCCAAGGCCTTATATTTTAGAGGATAAAATTCCAAGCCTCACATCTAGACTTGTAAAACAATGCATGATTGGTTTGATTAAAACACAAAACAATTACTTTATAATCATTTCATAGAATATTCTGTACGTATGTAATAGTTGTTGGTCAGAACCCAAACCAACCTTTTTTTTTTCAGTTTCTGGAGTGGATTCCAAATATTTGTGATCGTTCTCTCTCATGTTTGTTTCCAGGCTAACTCTTCTTGGGGGTCACCGTGGACTTTGGTGTGGCTTTGGATGCAGAGGCCGAGGCCGAGGCCGTGGAGGATGTTGATGAAGAGGAGGAGGAGGAAGATGAGCTCCATCGCGTCTCCACACCGGTACTCGTCATCTTCAGCTTACGCCGCTTTGCCAGTGGGGCATTGTCCACACTTTTCAGAAAGAAGCCCTCTCTCTTTCCAAGGTTAAAGGCCTGAAGGGGATTCAAAAGAGCGTGCCGTTAGAAGCAGTTTTCAAAGATCAAGAACTAAACGGATCGGGCCGTACCTTGTATGTAGCATTGACGAAAGTGCGGACGGTTGGCCCACTGGACTCCAGCACATCTGGCGTGCACAGGGGAGTGGTGGACATGAATGCTCCTCCCTGCAGCCAGCTGTTTTCTTTCAGGTCAGACAGTTTCAGACGCCGCTCAGGATCCACCGTCAGCAGCCCTGCAGAAACAAACAACTGTGTAAAGAACTGCCAACTTTGTCTCTTGTACTGTAGGTGTGAATGATGGACGGGTGAAAGCACAGTATGTAAGGTGCGTGTGCGGCAAGTGTGAGTAAGAGATGTGAGGGCGAATGTAAGTAAGAAATCTATATAGCACATCTTTACAGACCGAGGTCAACCAAAGCGCTTTACAGTGATGAGGTGTAGTCATGTAAGTGTTTTGACATGTGAACGAACAATGTAACTGTATAATAATAATAATAACACAGACCAGATCACATGCACGGATAAATTGGTGACGGGAACAAAAATGGAAATATGAATAAAATATTGATCACACAAAATAGCCAACACATACATGCTGCTTGATTATGGAATAATTGAGCAGCATGTAAAATGGTATAATATAATACTTTATATTTGCTTTTTTGTAGGCTAAAATCATATATTTTGTACGTATTTTTTTCTTATTATAACAGATTAAAGACTGCTCCTTATTATGCTAAAGCTAAGGATTTTATTATATGCTAGTATAGTTATTTAGTATAGAGTTTAGTATAGAGCATCATTTATCTTACCCTGTGGTCATTCCTATTGTTCTGTAGCTGGTGATGCAACACTGAAATTTCCCCACAGTGTGAAGAATAAAGAATCTGTTAATCTCAATACCTTTGACAAGTTCTTTAGCGTCGTCAGAGACACCTTTCCAGGCCTCTCCCTCCAATGAGAAGTCTCCTTCTTTGATCTTCTGCATGATATCAGCAGCGTGTAAAGACGTCATGCCTCTCTGGCTGCTCTGAAATGGGACTTGACCCGACAGCATGGTGTACTGATGAAAACACACAGCAGTGAGAATGAGGAATACTCATGGTGGGCACAGAGTTGGACAGTAAATTACCAGGATCACTCCGAGGCTCCAGAGGTCACAGGCCTTATCATAGCCTGCGCTCTCAAACAGCTCTGGAGCTGCATACTGCAGCGTGAAGCAGGGGGTTTGCAGAGGAGCGCTCCCTGCTGGACAAAGGCGAGCAAAGCCAAAGTCTATCACTTTGAGTACAGAGACTTCTGCATCATCAGCAAACAGAATGTTCTGGAAAGAAATCACAAACATTGGTCATGTCACTAATTTCTATTGCCAAAAGGAATTCTCAATATTGTGATCTTTGAGAGGAGATGTATGTACAAGAATGTATTAGTCAAGAATCAGTAAAACAAGCCATTTGAAAGTTACCTCTGGTTTGAGATCTCTGTGAACGACTCCAGCTTCATGCATAAAGCTAACTGCAGAGACCAGGCTCTGTAACAGCTGACTGGCCTCTGCTTCCCCAAACAGTTTTTTCCTTCTAATCCGTTCTAGCAGCTCCCCACCTTCGAGTAGCTCCATCACTAAATAGGTGTGGAACTGTAGAAGAACAGAGAAAGAGTACATCCATAGCGCTTTTCTTTTTAAAGAAAAGAAATCTAATGTTATAGTTGTTGATTGTGTACCTGGTCCGTATAGACCTCATGCAGCTTGACGATGTTGGGATGGGATTCACATTGCCTCAGAGCCGCGATCTCCCTCTGCGTATTTGCCTCCATTCTAATAACGCACACAGACATGATAGATGTACACAAACAGCAATAGTCAGCTAAGCATTTAAGAGTGCACAAAAATAGTGCGTGGTCATCATGATTCACCATCGACTCACCTGCGACTGACGATCTTCACAGCATACTCATTGCCACTCTGCTTGTGTCTGCACTTTCTGCACACAGAGAAACTACCCTCACCTAAGGGCGGCCCCAGGAGGCACAGCTCATAGTTCAGAAAAAATGGGGACTCCTGAAAGAGGAGAATAGGATTGCTCAGAAACAACATACTTAATGCATTAATAAATCTTATATCCACATAATCTTTGGTCATGTTGATGTCACTTCACTCTTGTGTTTTACCCGCAACATGGCGCTGCGCTGAACAGAGGCAGAGCCGGGTCGATCAGCACCGATCTGAGTTTGTACAAAGTCTCCCATGACTGCGTTCTTATTGAACAGGATTGATGGAGCAACAAATGAGTATCCCTGAGGAAAAAGAAAGCAGATGCTATGTAAGCAAGAAAAAGTACAAACACATTACAATTACAAAGATGCAATGAATAAATACCACTATGTATAATTTGTAATAATAACAGTAAGGTAAATGTGTATTTTCTTCTCACACCAAAGTGGACCTTAAAGTGCTAAACTGGTTTAAAATGATTGGACACTGAGAGCACTTATGTTGCCAGGTATGAGCCACACCTGGAAAAGGCGGTCTGTGCTGGGTGGGGTGCTGGCAGGAGAATAAACTGGGTCCATTCCTGTAAACTCTTCTGCAAAGTTCCCCACATCTAGTTCACTCTTCAGCTCTGGTTTGAAGGGGCTCGGCACCTTTTTCTGGGCTAGATCAGTCCAGTTGAGACCCTGATTGAAAAACAACAAACATAAACATGGTGTGTCCTGTCACTGCTTAATAGCATACTACAGTATAATAAAACCTTGAAGAATGCATGTGCTTTAATGTCTGCAGCCCCTCTGGGACCAGACCCCAATCTTCTGTGAGGATCCTTTACTAACAGTTTCTTCAACAGGTCCTGAGCAGTATGTCCAATCATAGACGGAAATGGAGGATCACAGCGAAGAATACGTCTTAGGAAGTGAAAAATATAGACATAGTCAGCAACAGCATTAAGGACAAAGAAAAGTCAAAACCAAACTCACTTTGAAACCTCACTTTGGGAGTTCCTCTCTCCCTCCAAAGTAAAAGGAGATGCTCCCGTCAGCAGTTCAAACATTAAGATCCCAAGACTCCACCAATCTACAGACTACAAAGTTAAGAAAGAGATAAGAAAAGCCTTATTTTCTCCAGGAGGAAAGCTGATCATGATTTTAAGCCACGTCTGATTTTTCAATTTTACCTTTCCATGGCCAGACTTTCCTCTGATGATTTCAGGAGCCATATATTCTATAGTGCCACAAAAGGAGTATGTCCTTTCTCTCTGTATTTGAACAAAGGGTAATAATTTAATGACACACAACCACAACATTCACTTCAAAAGTTATAAAACAGCTCCACACCTCCTCATCCAGAAACTCTTTACTGAGCCCAAAATCTGTCAATACTATATGCCCTTCACTGTCCAAAAGAATGTTTTCCAATTTGATGTCTCTATATACAATACCAAGCTGCAAACAAAACATGCGTTAAATGCCAAGATAATTGATTAATTGTAAACGTTGATAGTAAACCTCACTGTTTACCTTGTGTAGATGCTCAAGTGCCAAAATAATTTCCCCGATGTATATTCGAACTGCCTCCTCAGAAAAGTGATCCCGCTGATAGAGGTGTGTAAACATTTCACCCCCGCTTACATAGTCTGAAATAAATTATCATTAAAAAACTGCATCCCATAGTTTTTTTGTAATAAAAGCACGTTTTGATATTTTATATGCATTCACCGAGAATGAGGTGCAGTTTGCTCTGAGTCTGAAAGGCATAGTGTAAAGTGACCAAGAAGGGAGACTGCCGGATGTTCTCCAGCACCTGCCTCTCAGTGCGAGTGTGTTCAGCTGTTTTGGCCTTTTGAACAATAGCAGCTTTCTTTAGCACCTGCAAAAGTAAATGAAAGTGCACTTCTATCATTAACAAACCTAAACCTTAGGCAAAAACACTGGGGTGATCAGGCTTTCCCCAGTAAGGATTTGGCTTTTTAAATATAGGTTAATTCATTTTAAACAGATTTTTTTATAGATTTTCTTGAACATATTTTGTAATGTCAAAACACTATTATTAATTCATTATTATATTGTAATTAATGAAGGGCTCTGTAAACAAAGGGTATTGATTGAATTTGTTTTGATTATAAAAAAATTGGGTAATGACGAAGATAAACACAGGATCAGATATCTGCTATGTTGATAAACAATTTATAGTTATGCTTTAGACAGTGAAAACCTTACCTTCATAGCATACAGCTGACCCATATCATGGCCACTGTTCTTCCTGACCAAAAAGACCTTGCCATATGCTACAAAAAAACACATTTATTGTTTGACAAACACTGATAAAAAGAGTTGATGGCATAAATAAATACACAGACATAACAAACCTCCAGTCCCCAACACTTTGAGCAGTTCAAAGTTCTCCATGCCGACCTTCTCTGCATGACCCGTCAGGTTCGCTGGAGTTTAGATATAATTTGTAAAAAGGCCAATATACGTGTTTTCGAGAACTTTATGGCATTGTACTCACCATCAGTGATTTGATGCTCGACGGTGGAGGGTTTCTCATTGGTTTGTGAATCAGAGTCTGAGTCACTACATTCAGATGCGTCTCCAGGCATAACTCACACAAATTTAACTCTTTAATTTAATATTAAACTTGTCTAAAAGTTAAACTATAGTAGCATTTAAACATAACATTTACGCACTAAAAACGGCACTTCAGACAACATGAGGTTATTGGGACAGCTGTTTTATGCAGATCCTTAAATCCTGCTGAGAATCTTCCGTCATGGGGCATCCTGTAGTTATACTGTGTTTACATTATGTTAACACTCGTATCGATATTAATCATTTAAACCACTTCATGCCAAAACTGCATAACTGAAACAGCGAGTGAACGTACTACTTTGTTATTACCAGTGGCAACACTTGTCGCTTTAGCATTAGCTTTGGCACTCAATCCAGATGAATGAAATATTAATATCTCGTGTTAATAATAATATTGCTGTTATTTTAAAAGTCAATGTCACTGCACAATCTGAGTGTCCTCGTTTAGTTGAATGTGGAGTAACACTGCATTTCCTATGAAGCTACAGGACAGCTTACATGGTCGTAGTAGTGGCTAGCAAAGCGTCTAAGTCAAACTTTGAACATTAGCGTTAACGTTACTCTACTGTTGAAATGACAGTATAAATACCATCATGCAGATAAGTCTCATACACAGGTGACGTAGCCTCAGGATCTCCAGTATCTTCGTCTATTCTAGTTCAGTTTAAAAGCCTGACCCAGCTTCAGATAATATTTTTGTCTCAGCTGATAGCTTCATGCTAACACGGATGCTGTCGACGCTAGTCACGTGACTCCAAAGTGGGCGGCGTCACGAGGAAGTTCAAATACGGTCCTAGGATCCATAAAAAAGTTGTATTAACACGGTCTAATTGAATCGTCCGTTTACATTGTATGCTTTTATTTAATTTTATAGAACACAAATTCATTTTGTATCCTATGCTCACAATGTCTTGCGCAATGTTTGATGCCGGAGAAGGACTTTCCCTCACGCCACTTGTATTTCTACCAAGCTCTTGGTGATAGTCTGACACTGAAATTAAAACTGACATCCAGGGTTGTCAGTTTGAGTTAAAAAAAAAAAAAAAAAAAAAAAAACATGAGTTATGGACCAATTAGGACTAAGCAGTAAGCACTGTACAAAGTTACCAACAAAAAGCATTTAAAAAAATACAGATAAGCAGTAGCATTTTTCGAGGCTGAATTGTAAATGTACATTTGCATAACTCTCTCCCTGGTTTACAATTCGAAAGGAAATATCCACCCATAAGCACTGGTTTTCTTTGTTTAACTACATAGGTGACCCCTGATGTTTCCAATGGGACACTTTAAGGCAAAATAGAAATAGCCTCAAAATTTGAGAAGGAAAAAAAAAAAAAAGAAAATACTACAGAAATAACTTTGTCCCAATCAAGGCCTGACTAAAGACAATTGATTTGAAAACACACCCTATTTGAGAGAACAAACAAAAACTGTTTGCTTTAGGGTGGATTTTTACTTCCACCGATGTGTATATTGTGGTGATTCATTTTGAGTATGAATGTATAAAAATCAATCCAGTTTTCTGGGTAACAGTTTTAGCAAAACAACATGCAAGCTCTAGATACAATCCATTCATAGTGAAACCAATAAAAATATTGTCAGAGATAGACCAAACATTGATTTAAAGGCCAGAGGAAGTAATAACTGAGGGTTGTGACTATGTTCCACACTGGTTTTTCTTCATACTTTGTCTCAACGAATGGCAATCAGTCCAACATCAATGAGTTTTTGAATCTTTTGAGCAATACCAGGGTTCTTCAGGTGTCTGTAGAATAAACAGATGAATACATTAATACACCTGTCATCCTGCCTGAGCAATACATGAAAAGTATATAAACAGGTACATACTCGCTGAGAGCCTGTGGGTCTTTCTGCATTTGCTCGAGGATCAGGCGCATGGTGGGGTCGCTCATTATATTCTGCACCTCTGGATCCCCCATGGCCCTCTTCTTCACTTCCTCTGGGGTGTCGTTCCTCACCGCCTGACCCATCATACAGCGCTGCATGCCTTCACTGGCTTCCTATGGTTGAATTAAAATTAAAATTTCCCGCTGGCTTCTGTAAGCTTGAACAACTTTGAAAGTTGAGCTTGCACTTGAGTGCATATAGGATTTAGTTCCCCGACTCAGTCTAATGTACTTTTGGTTATTTATGCCAAGACTTAAAGAAGCTATACCCGGTTGTTTTTTTTTTTTATGAGTTCATAAAAATGCTTATTACTACATACAAGTTGTTGCACTTTTTATGGCCTGAATTCCTACACAAGTTGAGAGTAGAGACCATAGCGTAGACTTAGCGTGATGCCAGCTCTCCTCCAATCACAGAACGAGGCTGCATCCTCTAGCTTCTACAGCGCTGGTAAACATGAGTAGAATGGAGGCAGAAAGTGCCTATATACCTGCTCTGGCTGTAACTGCAGACACAGCAAAATAGCCCGAACGATGCAACAGTGAGGAAAGCGAAATAATGATCAAACAAGAAATCAAGCCCGTGTGAACATAGTTAGCTTACATTGTATCCTCTGGAGAGATTACAGAATATGGGAGAGACCTGCGGGAGCAGGACCGCCTCGGACTATCTATGCTCAGACCATCTATGCTCGGACTACCCTTGGACACAAAACTATATATTACTATACTATATATTTTGTTAGCAGTGCGTTGCTTTTGTACAATTTCATCAGTGATTGTTCCACTTTCATCAGTGATCCATCCATTTTCTACCCTTTAATCCATTTCTGGGTCAGGGGGGTGACAGTCAGAGATGCCACCCAAGTCTCATAGCACCAGCCCCTCACTGACCCTCTGCAGGTGGTGAGTCCACAGGAGGACGGCTGCTCTGACTGTGAGCATAGCCTTGATCTTTCAGCGGGGGCTTTTGGGCAAAGTGGGGTTAAGTGTCTTGCCCAAGGACACAATGACAGCAGTCATCAGTGGGAGTCGGTGGAGAAGGTGTGGAGGTGGGAATTGAACCCACGACCTTCAGGCCTGAAGGCCAATGCTCTACCAACTGAGCTACTGTCGCCCTCAGTGATTGTTGTACAGCTTAAGTTCCGCTGATGCTAGCATACGTATAAGATCGCAAATAAAACTAGATGGCTCCGTGGGATGAGAGCATAGGGGAAATGAGAATCTGTGAGCGAGTTGAGGTGCTAAACATTCAAACCTTGCAGAAACGGGAATAGCTCCTTTTACAATCAGTGTGATGTGTATTTTATATTTTTCTTCATTTCACAATGTTGTCTAGTGGTGTATATTACACAAATATTCCAATGTGGTTTGTAACAGTAAAGTATCAAGTGTATTGGCCATATATCAATTATTTGCCAAATGCAACTTTTAACCCACTCACTTTTGAGGTTGAGTCAAGGTCCAGTGCTTTTTGATATACATCCATTGCTTTGGTAAAATCTTTCATCGCCTCCAAAGCTGCTCCTTTGCGTGTGTATCCCTTAACTGTAGACAACGTACAGAGATTACATCAAGATTTAATTCTGCAAGCCATCATATATTTATCTCCAAGAGAGAAGTACTTACTGAATGCTGGCTCGAGCCTGATACACTCTTCACAATCCTAACACAAACATAAACACATTGAGATATAAACAGTTGTTAAACAAAAAAAAAGACCCAAAAGACCCCCAAAAAAACACATACCTTTAAAGCAAGTTGAAACTCTGCAAGCTTTGTGTAGCATGCTGCTCTGTTACTGAAGAGTTTGGCATCATTGGGATTTCTCTTGATGGCCTCACTGTAATGTTTCATTGCGACAGGGTAATCTCCTGATGACAGAAAACGTGTTAAATAAACATGGGGGAAAAAAAACAACAAGTGCAGTCATACAATACCTTTCTGGAAAGCTTCATTTCCTTTACTTTTCTCTTCCAAAGCCAATTCAGGGTTTATATACGCTAGCTTCTCCTGTTCTTTCAGAATTTTCTCTGCCTATTGGGATAAGAATCGCTCAACTTTTTTGAAACATGAAACATTCAAATAGACATTCATACCTGTTGACACTTCTTAAGGACATCCGGCGTACGATGCTCTGTCAAACTCTTATTGAAATATTGAACCGCTTCTTTGTACTTTTCCTGCTTGAAATAAGAATTGCCAATTCTTGCCAATGCCCTGCAAGGTGTAGAGATTTTTTGTTTTTAAAACAGGCACTTAGGCATGTTCTACTTTTCATTATTCAGAGACTACTTACTTGGCTATTTGTCTGTAGTCCTCCCTGTTCTCTCTTCCAATATCAATGGCCTTTTCACATATTTCTCTGCACTTGTCAAATTCTCCCATCTCAAAGTAAACAGCTAAAAGAGACCAAATTGATTAGCTGTTACAGAAAAAGGGTTTAACATTGACACATGCATTATAATGTACAGTCAGATACCTGCTTGGTTTGAGAGATATGTCATATTAGTTGGATCTTGTTTCATAGCACTCTCATAATGTTTTAGAGCAGTTTGAAAATCCTTATTTTTGTATGCAGCATTTCCTAGTTCTTTTTCTTTTAAGGCCTGGGTGAAAACAAATGTGATCATTTCTTAAGGTATAATTAATCAAAATTGGTTATAATAAAATATTTTGTACATTTCTTTTGTTTTCTGGTAGGTCTTCTGCTTTGGGAGGAGGGGGCTGAGTTTCCTTGGGTTTGGGAGGTGGAGGAGGAGAGGGTTCTTCATCTTCTTCCATATCTGGCAGATTGAGCAGCACGGAAAGTGTAGTCATTACTCTTGGATCTTGTAGTTTCCTTTAAGAAATTAATACATGTTTGATTAAAGGAGCAACTAAAGAAGAGGGGTATAAAAATAAAAAAAAAACAACATACATTCCAAGAGTTGAGGGATTATTACGAAGTTGCTCAAGCAGTTCTCTGTAGCTTGGTTGAGACAACAGATCTCGTGTCCGCGAATCGTTTTCCAACTTCTCATACAAATTTGGTACAGCAAACGGGTTCATCATATTCTTTTCTGTGAAAAATAAAAATCCAGAAAAAAATTGTGTAGTATTTGATGTCACAAACCCATTTGGATTGTGTTCCTGATAACTTCCAAACATGGCTTGACCAACACTAAATATTTTAGTTGAAAAAATGGACTAATTGGCAATTACCTGCAAGTCGGGCCTCTATATTCTGCAGACCCTCCTTCAGCTGCTGATTATTTGGCTCATGTCGAATACCCTCTTGATACGTTGTTTTAGCCTCCTCTAGCCGCCCAAGAAATTCCAGCGCTGCAGCCTTTCTGGAGTAGCCCTGATACAAAAAAAGATATGTTAAGAAGTGTTCAGTCTTCTGAGGCACTGTTCTCAGTGTATATAGAGGAAAAAGGGATAACCTTTCTGTTATGACTGCAATTAGTATTGGAATCTGACAGTCAGGAAGAAAATAAGTCTTACTTTTCCCCAGTCAGGCTTGATCTTGATGGTTTGGCAGGCATCCTGGAGAGCGGGCTCATAGTTCCCTTTCTTGGCATAAGCAGCTGATCGATTACTAAAGAGAACATGGTTGGCGGGATCAAGCTCAATGGCTTCAGTGTAGCATCTTATAGCTTCATCAACCTTCCCTGCACTCAGTGCCTTGTTTCCTTGGTCTTTCAGTGCTGATGCCTGCAACAACCAAATTAACATTAATAATAATACAGGCATACAATGAAGAACAGGGAAAGAACTAAAAACTGAAACACCTCCACACACACTGATAGACATATCAGTTATTTAATCCATTCAAATAGACACGTTGTTTGGAATTGTACATATTTCATATCTTGTAAAACACAGAAGAAAGGAGGGTATCTTACAGTGCATCGTTTTAGAATCCTGCATAAACTGATTATATCAGTGATAGATTGCGATTATGTCTAGATGAACTGAAGTACAACATGATGATCAGTATGACAGCTTTTAGAACTCTTTTGGCTGTAACCATGGGACTTTTAGATCCTTGACATGGGAGCGAGGCCGTGTGCGTCTAGAATGATCTTCTGGTACCAACAACTGCCCCTTGGGCAACGTGAAGCCTCTAATGTCATGACATACACAATGAATGCAGTTAAAATAACGACAATACTGTGACATGTTGGATAGGGCAAGAATAGTAACAATATTATAAACACTTTTTTTCAGTCACAAAGCAGTCATATCCGTGTTTGCAGGCAACTAGGTTAACATGTTAATCCGATGGCTTGGTCTCCAATAGAATCTTTAGACTTAAGAGTCTATAAATTGGGATGATTGTAACATTAGAAAATAAGACCAAAACAGGAAGTCATAACGGCAACGTAACGAATACGCCAATTACACAGGCACCATTTAATAGTTTAAGCATTCAGCATAAATATAGTTAACCAAAAAATATAGCTCGTATTCTTGAGTGGTAGGTGGCGATAAAACATTTGTAGTGCGACTCACAAGGAGCACATTGCAGCAGCAAGCTAACGCCTAGCTAACCTGTTTCATCCGTCACAAGTTTTATCAATGGAGTATCCCCCCAACTAAAAGTCCACTTCACATGTTTATGCAAACATAGTAATATAGATCAGAATGATCCGATATGTTTTATCAGACGATGAAAACGATGTAAATATGATGAATAAAGGAGATTATGACTACTCACTTTCTCCATGGTGCAAGCATGAGGTTCCTTCCAGAAACTACGGTGGCGGAGCACCTCCCTCTGAACAACGCCAGGGTTGCCAGGTCTGATCTGAACGAGAGCGGTCGGGCAGTGTTTTATTAACAGATGAAACTTCCAGAAACTTCCTGAAGATTGGTGTGATTGTTGTTTATTTTGAATCATTATAATATCATATTGATATTGAAAATATTTAATATTAATTCTAGTTGTAGGCCTAGAATAACGAGTACTAGTATCACTAGTACCTAGATTACTAGTAGTAGTTTTTTATATATACACACCACGTGAATTATGTTATATTCCATGATACATACACAATAATAATTCAAATGGTTAAACTATAACAACGGGTATTTTCAGTCTACGATCAAAACTTTTGAATCATTTTCACAGCTTCTTCACTGCTTCTCAGGCGCATTCACGCCAGGGAAAAGTGCCAGATTTGTGTATTTGATCCTGCCCTGGTACTGGTATTATTATAGATCCATGTAGTTTCTATGGTATTTTCCAGTTAAACCGGGAACCCACATGTGTTTTTAATTCATTGATTAATATACTTCTGCATGGGTTCAGACTTTACACCTGTATAAAACCAATAATAACAACAGATAGATTTTCTTCAAATAATTAGTCTTCGTAGTAAAATTGTAAATCATACACCTGTATTGTTTTTTGTTTTTACTTAGCATTATGTCGCTGTAACTAATTAAACCCACCGTTCATACTGAATTAGTGACGTAACATTCTTAGTGTTAAAGCCACTGAAGGAAACTGGGGGGTACGTTTGACCGAAGTTTTATTTATTTGTTTAATTTTGTGGGTTGAGTTTAGGCTAGCTACGTTTTTGCTAACCACGTGACGTCAGCAAACAAATGACGTGAGTCGATTTTCACGAATTTTACTTGTTGTTTCCATGTAGATTACCGTATAATAGTCAGCTCTGAACGGGAGATGAGACGTCAAGCAAACAACATGAGTTTTCCAACTGGTAAAGTTCTAAAGTCACATATTTACGCTATAGGCCTCCCTAAATCTGCCCTTAAAATGTGTTGTGTTTTCTAGTGCCACTCTTCAACCAAAAGAAACGAGCTCGTGTCCCGTTGACATCAGCTCCTCCTGCAAATGAATCTTACAGCTTTAATGACTACAATGCAGATGTACCTCACACAGCTCCAGGTATGAGATACAAGTACTTACACTAACATCTGCACCTATTCCATTCAAGTTTTTATTTTAGTTTGACCTTTATTTTATCAGGATATTCTGTCACTAGGTGGTGCCATTTACCTGAACAGCTAGCCTTTCAACTTTTTCTTACTAATAGGTTAAAAAATGCACTCTTTTGTGTGTGGTTCTGGCTTTAGGTGATCTGTTTTATCATACTTACATTCATGCACCTATATATTCTATAATTCTCTGATACAGGCACACTTGGATTTTATCACTCACCTGAAACCAGAAAGAATTTTCATCAAGAGCAGAAGGTTCATCAGTCCATGATGCACCAACAAAGGCAGTACAGCGGCACAGGTCCCAGAGCTGCTGCCACTTCGAGCCAGTATGGCCCTCTGCCTCATCCTTACAAAGCAGTAAACACAAAGTAGGGCTTTCTGACTCTATTCAGTGCTATGAAACTGCTAAAAACCTACATACTAAATTTTTTTTTTCTTTAGCACAAAAATGGAGCAAACCAACTTCACCATGAGACAAAAAGATGTTGGCGCTGGAGAAAACTCACAATTTAACACTTATCAACCTCGTAACAACCGCAGTGGACCAGTGAGTCAGCCTGTGTCAGTGTGCCAGCAGCCGCCGTACAAACCTACCAATGCCACTTATAAGTTTACCCAACAGTCGCCCCGCCAGCCTCCCCCAGCACAAGCAGCTTCCCAGCTCACCCAACCCAAAAGCCAGCAACAGTCTAAAGCTTGGAACCTTACCAACAGCTTTGGACCTCAGCCCGCAGTGCTGAAAAAGGCCACAAAGCCGGTCACTCCAAACATTCAAGTGAAGGTAAACTATCACCATATTTTTAAAATGTAAAATAATTGACGTATAACTGTTATTGTTTGTTGAAATAGGCACAACCAAAATTTCAAATGAGATCAACAAATGAGGTGTCTCTGAGGATTCTTACGGCAGTTATTGATGGAATGAGACACTGGAGCCAGTTTAAAGACAAAGTTCCATTTTTATTTGAGATATTTGGTTAGTTTGAATAGACCCGTTTGTACATACAATAGTTATTCTACTAAAAATCTATTTCTTTTCAGCCACTCTAGACTCCGCAGTGACATTGGGGCCGCATGGAGCAAAGAATTTCATCATACGAGACGGAAAGGAAGTTGTTCAATGTGTCTACTATGAAAATGTATGTGTAAATATATAGACCCAAATGCCAGTTATCATGTACAATTGAACGCCTTGTGATTCTCTCCCCGATAGGAGAAAGAACTGCCTCGCCTCATTCGTGGTCAAGTCCATCGTTGTGTCGGTAACTATGACCGCACCAGAAATGTCCTTGTGTGCGTCTCCATCCGCCCAGCGCTGCCTTCGGAGCTGAGGAATTCACAAGAGGCTGTCAGAGTCTGTGATGCAGAAATGAGGGTGCTGGTCAAGCATTTCAGTGAAGTCTAGGCTTGGATAGCTGCTGGCGGAAAGCAACACTGCAGAAGAGTGTTATTAGAAGTTCAAGTTCATACCAGTTTATAGTTGTCATTACTGAACACTAGAGACGTAAAACTGTATGTTGTAAACTGTTATTATTCGTTTGGACATGTATTTAGTTTAAAACATTTTATGTTAAACCTTTTTTATGATATCAAATACATTCCATGATGACATTATTAATTATATACCATTTAAGTTCTGTATTTCAAAATAGATTAATAAAAAATGGCTCAGAATGTCAAGATTGAGAACAATTTATTTACAGTCCAACATCACAATGGAAAACAAAACAATATCCTACTCTTAATAAAACATGTTCACCAGTGCTGAGACTTTACACACAACTGTTTAACAAATAGAGGGAGAACTCCAGTGCAGTCATTCAGAGTCCATCACAGAAGAGGATCCACGATCACACCGACATGTCTCATTCTACTGTCCATGTTTCTTGAGCATTTTCAACACATTTCGGAAATGTTAAAACCATTAGTAACCTTAATATGCACAGATTCACGCAGGGCTGGGCTTGATGAAATTGGCAGTGTACAATAATGAAATAGAAGCGTATATTTTGTCCTTGGAACATGTCATCTGCAAACTAAAAGGATGCTGAGAACACACAACAATTCAGCGACACAATATTAAAGCCACATCCACATTTTGAGAGCTGCAAAAAATAATGTTTTGTATAGATTCCACATTTATTAAGGTTTAGCATTTTTGTAAATAGGGGCAGTCTGATCCGTGCATATTGTAATCAATATGATGTTTTGCAAGAATTACTCAAAACAGGAATGGAATCTGACCATTTCTTTCAGCGGTTAGGCCATTGAAACGAAACAATGCATGTTACTACTAAAGTAAAAGTATAATGAATGTTTATTTCCTTCCCCCATCTCCAATAAATACTATAGAGTTTATAGTATTTACATTACACATTTCATGACATGTTTAATTTGTCATGGATTCAAACGGCCAAATAATTCACCCTTACTGTTCAATGTTACTTAGGATTTGATCAGAATTAGATTAGATCACGCCAAAAATTAATTTGAGAAAAAACAATCAAAAATGATGACCAACGTCGTCCTTTGTCCCTCTTTGATGCCGTCAAAAACATAACACGTCATTCTCAAAAGTTTTGTTTTCAGATAGAGATCATACCATCAGGAATAGACAGGACACTTTACCACAACGACGACAAGAAGTAGAACAAAAATCCACTCAATAGGATCCACGTTTGTTTTAATCAGAAAAGAGGAGACCTGATCATCTTGTTTTAACACTTGTCTTAATAATGTTAAAGGCACAAAGTGGTTGGATCACATTGAACTGTTCTACCAATAACAAAAGCCATCATGCATTTTTTGACCATTTAAAAAAATTATTTCCCTGCCTTTTGCATCTATTTTTCCTGAATTAGTCTGTGTTGCAAAGAGGAAAAGATTGCTTACATTTGACAAGCAAAAAGTAGAACTTCAGAGCATCAACAAAGGAAGAATGCTGCGTTTTGACAGAACAACAAATGACAACACTGCTTTTATTACAACTCACTTCTTTCCCTCCGTGTCCTTTTGGTAGGTCCAAAGCTGGGAGCATTGTCCTTTTCTTTGACATTAATGATACTGTGTTTAAGTACAGACGTCTTAACTGCCTGGGAACACGATGAAAGCACAATTCAAAATGTCAGATGACAACTTGCCTCTCCCTCGAACCTAATCCATGTTCTATGTACAAACACATCGTTCATAATGATATTTTGGGAAACCATTTCCAAGCATCTGCTGCACTGATTTGAAATCTCAATCATTTTTATAACGTCCATCATGGCAATTGAAGAATATTTTATTGGTCAGTAATTTTCATGTTGGCAAGTCAAAGACAAAACTGGAATGTACAATGTTGTTTTTGGAGACCATATAAATAATTATTAGAGACTATTTTTTACACTGAAATCAGGCATTTAGCCAAAAAAAAGAATCTAAAGAAGAACAAATTTAATCGGGGGAAGACGTTATCGTTCTTTTGTGTTTTTTTCTTCACATGACTTAAGGGGCATACAAAACATTTGAGTAGACTGGTCCATGTCCTTCCATGAAATTTAATGAGAACTGTATAAAGTATAAAACAATTACTCTTCAGTGCACTATAACAATGTGGGCAGTGGGGTGGGTGAAAGATGCTCTTTTGGTGCATATTTGGCAAAAAATGGCAAGAAAACGGTGAGCATGACACCCACAATTGCCAGCATGTATCCCCAGCCGATCTGGCACTCCCCGGCATAGTAGATGTCAGCGTCTCCGCAGAATGACCGCACTAGAGTGGAGTTTAGGCCGAAGGGGTAGACCAGCAGTCCTGCCGCCATGATGAACACTGTGGACACACACACAGAGCCTGTTAGTGAAGCTGCCGGAGGATAACATAAGTATGGTGAAAAAACATTTATTTTAAGTGTTTATATACAAATGAATATCAATATGTTTTAACGAAACAAAAATGTTTCAAGTGCAAGATAATGTCTTCTTTCCCATTTACTTGTATTGACACTTGCCTTGAACACAACTTTCAGTGCCGTAGGTATTATGTTTGGGGCCAAAGCCTGTTTTTTTTTTTTTTACTGAAGCTTACACTCAAAAAAGATACTAAAAATGTCTCTTTGAATAAGAAAATAGAGCAACAGTTCTTGAAATAAGACTAAATATCTTTGTCCCTTTGGCAAATCTTGTATTAATACATTGTCTCAAACTGTCTTAATTTGAGACAGAATGTCCTCAAATTAAGATAAAAAAACACTTGATGCAAGCAATTATTAGCTCATAATTGACATATTTTTTGCAGTGTGGCAAAGCACTTGGAAATAAATAGTGTTAAATGGTATCAAATTGAAAGTGTATGAAGGTATGTATAGTTTTGGTGAGCTCTAATAGGAGGAGGTTGTGCTCTCTATTGACGGTGAGCATCTCCACACATTCAACACAAGTGTATTAATTATTCACACTCATTGTTTGTTTGTGGCCACTTGGAGGCAGTAGAATCCTATAAGAGTAAAAACCACAGAACTTCTATTCAAAGCTGGGATTTACAGAGTTGAGCAGACGCCCACATCTTCATTTGTTCTTAGGCCTGAGATTTGTTACTTGGTGTCACTTATATGAACATAAATCATTTAGCAGATAGTTTTATTAGTCAGACAATGGCAGAGCAGCGCTTTTAATCAATCGAACAAGTGGAGTGTTGCACTTTATGGAATCTGCTAATGCAAGATGATTTATAGCAGCTAAAATCCATCTACTCCCTTCAACTTAAAAACTCCTTGGCTCTATAAAGCCTCTCCTGGAATACTTTGTGAATAATCAGCTTTATCAAACAACAATGCATTGTCTTCTTGTACAACTGAGGCAAAATCAATACAGTATTTGCAATGGTTTCATGTATAAGCTATATAGAAGGATGTTCTACTTCCGGGTGGATCAAGACTATTGGTCCTCCCAATTGTCAATCATTCTGGTGATACGTGCTCGTCAAATAAGACCAGAGAATTTTGTTCAAAAAGTGGAGAGGGCAGTTCTTTCCAAAAATTTGGGGAAATCCTCCTGTATACTGTAGCTTTAACAGTTCTTCATATTAAAGTCACAGTATGTACTAAGTAGCCTCTCTTAGTGGTATAATAAATTAAATACAAATATGATCTTTCAAATCTAATTGTTACAAGAATCTTCCTGTGACCTATGTAGCTCCTGAGCACTGATTACTGATGCTGGCTAGAAACAGTAGATGTATGACTTTGTACCCGTTTGTGTTTTTGAATGTTGATATTTTAATATAAAAGAGGTATCACACAATTCTGCTCTGCTCTTTGGTTTGATAACCCATTGTATTACGAAAAGGTCAAATATGCTTTGTAAATGTAGACCTATTATCTGGGGACACAAAAGATGAAGATGCAATTTGAAATGAAAATCTTACATATTACCCACATAAATGCAGGGTTTGGATTACTTCAGGTATACCTACTAAACAAGAACAATGTATTAAGTTTTACTCATATTGCAAACGGGTTAGAGTAGTATCTGAATAAAGAGAAGACAAAAGAAAGGCAATGTGAATAATATGATCAAATATACAAAAAGAAAACAGATGTTTTGTATAAAGAGCTTTGCCTAAGAGCTTTCTTGCTAATGACAGTTTAATGATCTGCTTTATCAAGCCATCAGTGGCTATTAAGGAGGAAGACAAACAACACAAAAGACATCTCTCCAACAAACAGCCACTTTATAACAATGTCAACGAGAATCTTCTAACAGAGCCCTCAAATCCATCCACCTCAAGACTGTTGTGTAACGCTGGACTTTCTGAAGAGAGGTCAGAACACACACACACACACACGCAGACAAACACACACACACAGTAAAGACAAAGATCAGACTCATCAGAGACTGTTCAGTGAGTGCACCACAGAGATGACAGAGAATTATGAAAAGCGAATGCCAATGTATCGTTTGGATGAATACGTTCCAAAGTTTTAAACAGTACATTACAGCTTCATACAATCAGATCTATGTCTGATTTCTATGGTGAATAAATGTGTGTAAATGATTGTATTTGTGCATATAACTATGGTGTGGTATTGAGGATTACGACATATGAGTTGTTTTAAAATATTAAAAGGGCAGAGATATTACCACTAATGTAAAGTAATTTTCACACTTTCACACTATTAAAAGACAAACCAAAGGAGGCAATAAGAGTCATTGTTATTGTTTTATATTTTCATCTTTCCTTTTAATGTACAGTGATTATTTATGATTTTAATGCTATTTTGTTCAGCACTTTGAGTTGCCTTGTGTATGAATTGTGCTATACAAATAAACTTGCCTTGCCTTGTTGTCCCACTCACTATATGTTATTGATCTGTAGTTTGAGCACATCTCCAAACGTACTTCAAACACCTGACAGGAGCAGTTTTATCATTTGCAGAAGTCTTCTCCAGTCGCTCTAACATATGTAAAAGTGTGCACAATGTGAAAGACGAAAACACTTTTGGCCGATAGTGTCAAAAAGTGATTTGAAACGATTGCAGAAGCCTGAGTTGATCAGATCCCTGCTGTAGTGCTCAGGACTGACACGTCCTTTGAGCAGTAACAAATGGAAACATCATGGTGTTTGTTTTTCTAATTGTGGTAAGATACAGTATTATGACAGAAATGTCAGTACAGCTGAGATGAGAAAATTAAATACCACTCCTGCCAAACAGGACACTGTGATGCGGCGACTAAATAAGTCAACTCAATTAACCTTGTGTGTCTTTGCTCACTGTAAGGATGGAGCTGGAGGCGCAGATTGAAGAGGTGCGCAGGGCACAAGGTCTGAGATAACCTCTGAGGCGTGACACTGTATCACCTTCATCACAGCTTTTTGACACAGAAGTCAGTGACCACGCTTCAAACCCAGAAACACACTAAACGTATGATTACTCAAGTGTCACATTCCAGCACTGACACCCAGGCACAGGTGGAGAAATAATCTCATATCACAAAATGTCACAAATCCAATATGTGCGGCTTAGACTAGATCCAGGTGCTCTGTCTCACACACTGGCTTCTGTATTTTACCGTTGCAAACTATGTGACTCCTACTTTTCCAATATTCAATCATATAGCAATAGTAATACTATATAACACCTGTCAATGAGCAATGCCACATACAGAGCAAAAGACGCTGACAATAATCCCTGTGTATAATACCTCACAGTCTAAGGCTTTCTAAATAATCAAGAAATGTTGGCTACAAAGATAAGTATTATTTCTCAATTCAAAATAGTTCTCCACCTGCTTTTTTGAACCTTTAGGCTACAATTCAAATAAAGAAAAGCAATAACTTCCCAGACTCCAGGCTATTGGCACGATCTCACACAAAGATACACACTGTCTGCGACAGGGGAAGGCTGACCTGGTCCAAGACTGGAACTGGATTTGGACTAAGACTAAGACAGGACTGAGACAGAGACGACAGTGCATGAGGAGGGTCGGCCCTCAGCTTGGGCCAGCATGGTAAAATGACAGTTGAATTGAGTAAAATAATATAAATAAACTTGTCATGATGCTATGCCATGTTCTAACTGTATAATTTTGAGTCTCCTTCTCGCTTATAGAAAACAGCATATAACTGTGAAAAAAAATCAAATGCCAGTTGACTAATTCACTTAGTATTTAGTGCATCCTTTTAAAGATGAGAGACAGGCCTGAATTTATGCGTGTGCCTAAATGAGCATTAGTCAGCAGAAAGAGAATAGAAATGCAAAGTACCCAGACAACAGAGTGGAGAATGGTGTGGACACAAAAGACTAATGCTCTGCTTATCCAATCATAAGTCAGCCACAGTCATGCCGAGACCACCGAATTCTAAACATGTGAAAATAAGTCGGAGAGTGGTAGTGGTAGATTTATGTGCCCTTCTTGTAATCTCTTGCTTCCTCTTGTCCCTAAAAGCAACTCAGTGCCTGGCAGCGTTCCAAACAAGGACATTATCTACCTACTTTTCACTTCAAAGACACATAAAATAGCACATACATTTAAGAAGCATCCTTGCAAATGAAAACCTCACGCTACATTGAATCACAAAATGAAGCTTGGGTAGAGAAAGTTTGAAGTTTTCCAGTTAAGTTGCCATTATATGCAAAACAAAATGTGTCTAATAAATCTTGATTTGCCAGCACCAAACTTATTTGTTATAGTTGCCAGGTATGTTGTCATTGATAAAATGCAGTGACAGGGAACATATGCCAAGAAATATTGCTTGATTAGGGATGCAAGCCCAAAGCCATAGATCTTACAAGCTACATTCCTCCTCACCTACACTTCTACTACGTTGTGTGGCCAGACAGCACAGGTGAGCTGCTGTTTCCAAGGCCCATGTAGATAATAATAACCAGATGCGATGGGGATCAGAGATGTAAATGAGGTGTTGATTTGCAGCTCAGGCCCTGAGGCAATGAGCAGCACATTTTCAAATGCATATTTTTATTTCTCCTAATGTGAGTTGTCAGGCAAACGGTTATGCACAATATCCCACCACAGATTGAAGTCTAACCTGCATAATTTAATAAGAAAAGAAAATCCGAGAACCAAACTCAATTCAATATGTATGTGTGTGTGTGTGAATACCAAAGGCCAGCTCATTCTCGCAGTGGACTGTGGAGGAAATTGCTCCTTGTTGGCCACACATTACCTGTCCTTGTATGTTTTCTCTATCTGCAGGCGGTTTAGAGATAGATGACAATCCTTGCTTTATGCAATTTCATATGTATAGGGCTACAATGCACACACAGAATTGTAATGATGCACAAATACTGGTTGATAATGGCTCGTCATTACAGCATTAATGGGCAGCACAGGGGCACGGAGGTTAGTGCTCTCGCCTCACGGCAAGATGACACTGGTGCCTTTCTGTGTAGAGCTTAGATTTCAGTTTTAGATGTAGGAATATAGTCAGTTCGTCAGTGAATTTAAAATAAGACAGACTTTATTCACACATGTATTCATAATGGACAAATGTAAAATTTAGTATGAATAGTATCACTCAGGTTGTGCAAAAGACAAGAAATGTGCAAACATGTTAAAAAGTCTCTTTTGTGGAAGATATATTATGTACAATTAAATTAAAAGTGACTGCGGCAGTTCGAGTTTACAGCCATTTGCGTGATTCGGTTTCAAAGTGTTATGACTATAATGAGTTTATGTTTTTATTCAGGAATGAATAACAGCATTAGAGCATAGCCTTGTCTTGCATGGGCTTTTTCACTTTTCTGGATTCATTTTTGAGTAAATTACACCACAATAGTTTAGTAAAAAAGTTATTATCGCCTGAAGTGGGAGAATTTCCATAAACATCCTGTATGATAACTTACCCCTGAGGTAATTACCAGGCCTATTACGCCACAAACACCTCGAGCGTTTGTTTTCTCCTTCTTTCCTCCATGTCACATTCAAGTGCAGCTGAAGCGTGGAGGATGACACTTTACCAGGTTGCGGGGAGTTAAGCCGTGCCAGATTTGAATGTGCAGGTCGTCAGATGGGACCTGGTGGTGTGTGGGCTACGCAGCAGGGACCCCATCCTAATACGATGAGATGTGCTCCAGTCTGCACACCGGCATGTCGATAATTAAGCTCAGAGCGCCAGTGGGAAATTATGCTAATGGCGAGCCCCTACTACCTACATCCCTCGAAACATTTGGCTTGAGGTGATCCTATTCACAACAGCCTAGGTTCTATAATGAGAGATGGAGAGGGACTAATGAACGACATCTTGTAACGTAACTACTGTATGGACTGGCTATGTTACTGCCCCGGCTACTTAGCCTTTAGAATGTTTCAAAGTGCCATGATGTGGACTTTTTAATTATTTTTACCTGGTTTTATTTTGCTCTACATTTGCGCTCTTGTAGTTTTGAGTTTGCTTCCTGTCTGTCCCGTTGAATGTTTGCCCCCTAGGATTTATTCTATTAAATTGCACTTATTTTTCAGTCCTGCATTTTGGGTTTCTTTATTCATTTCACCACATGACACAAAGTGTCAAACATGTAAAATCCATGTAAACAAGCAGGTTTGTCCAACAGCGCAAGTGAAAACAAAGACTACTAATACTGTAATAAAGGAATATCAATGAGTCTTACAGTTTAACTTATTCCATCACTGGCATTTATCATAAGCAACAAAATAAGGTCAAAAACCTTATGGGAAAGTCAAGTATGGAGAAAACTAAGCGTCATAATAACTGGCCATGAAGAAAGTCGAGCAACGAGAACAGAAGCACAGGTTTAATTGTTCCATACACACACATAATAGATTTGATTAGAAGTGGACCAAATCACCTGCTGACCTTGAACAGGCAGGGCTCCCATGAGATGTGGAAATACTATGATTGCACCATGGTGAGTGGACACAAAAGAGGTCTCTCATACCAGCTCAAATCCGACAAAACATTGAAAGATATTAATAGTAAATGCTGCATGTCTGGGTTGGGATTCCACCAGTTTCCCCCATCAACCTCCAACTCGCTGTACAGTCGTTGTTCTGATTAAACTATTATCCAAAATCAAGTCCTGCTGCAGATTAGAAGGTGGCTTCCACTGCTCCTGAACTTTTAATACATGAGGCATATTTCCTTCAAGAAAATACATTTATGATGAGAGGTTCAGTGAAACCTGTAGATCATTAATAGATCATATATTCGGGCCCAATGCTGATGTCACCATAGTGTTTGTTGCTAGCAGAAGAAGCCGATTTGAACATAAGCTAGCTGGATCCAGTTTCCTTATATGGGCATTTATTCTGAGCTTGTTCAATCAATCAATCAATCAACGTTTATTTGTAGAGCGCCTTTCCTACACAAGGCAACGCAAAGCGCTTCACATCCCCTATCACATCATGCATAAATCAAACACATTAAGAGCACAAGATATATTAAAAACATTAAAAATAAAATCACAAAAATTAAAAACCTTTAAACATTAAAATCACAGATGGGACTAAAATCATAAATAGTCACAGTGCATTAAAAAGATTAAAGATAAAAACAAAGATGAAAAGATAAAATCATTCAGTTGTATATGCGCAGCTAAACAGAATTGTTTTGAGCCTAGATTTAAAAGATGCCATAGTAGACGCCTGTCTCACATTCTCAGGAAGACGGTTCCAGACTCTAGCCGCATGAATCTGAAATGCAGTTTGCCCATGTCTAGTACCGACTCTGGGCACTAACAGGAGTCCAGTCCCTGTGCTCCTCAGAGTCCGGGTCGGTTCATATGGCACAAACATGTCATGGATGTACCTTGGCGCGAGACCATGGAGAGACTTGTACACAAGTAAAGCTGCTTTGAAGTCTATTCTCTGAGGAACAGGAAGCCAGTGCAGAGACCTGAGAACTGGACTAATGTGGTCGTACTTCCTAGTTCTGGTCAGGACTCGAGCTGCTGCATGTTGAATGTACTGCAGCTGTTTTACAGCCTGTTTGGACAGACCTGTGAGCAGGCCATTGCAATAGTCTAACCGACTGGAGACAAAAGCGTGTATAAGAGTCTCCAAGTCTGCCTTAGACACTATGTTTTTAATTTTAGCAATGTTTTTTAGGTGGTAATAAGCTGCTGATGTTACAGATTTTATGTGGCTTTTGAAATTTAAGTCTGAGTCCATTATCACTCCTAGATTTCTGACCTGATTTGAGGGTTGTAGAGAGAGAGCCTGGAGGTGACAAATAACGCTCTCTCTTTGTTTCTGGGGTCCGAAAACAATTATTTCAGTTTTGTCGGTGTTTAGTTGGAGAAAGTTATTTTGCATCCAATCACCGATTTGCTGGACACAGTGAAGGAGCGAGTCCACTGGTTCATGCTCTCCTGCTGTCAGGGACACATAGACCTGAGTATCGTCAGCGTAATTGTGATAAGAGACATTATTACTGTGAATCAACTGACCTAGAGGCAACATGTAAATATTAAACAGAAGAGGACCCAGGATTGACCCCTGTGGCACTCCGCAGGTCAGGGCCAAGTGGTCTGAGGTACAGTTTTCGATCTCCACAAAAAACTTTCTGTCTTGTAAATAGGACCTAAACCAGCTTAGGGCGGTGCCAGCAACACCAACCCAGTCCTCAAGTCTCTGAATGAGGATGCCATGATCAATAGTGTCAAAAGCAGCACTTAAATCTAACAGAAAAAGGACTGAGACTTTTCCTGCGTCAGTGTTTAGTTTGATGTCATTTGTTACCTTTATTAGCGCGGTCTCAGTGCTGTGGTGGGGTCTAAACCCTGACTGGAACATATCATAAGCGTTATTGATTATTAAAAATTCTGTAAGTTGTTTATAGGCAACTTTTTCTAGAATTTTTCCCATGAAAGGCAGATTTGAAATGGGCCGATAATTTTTGAGTGCCAGGGCTTCCAGACTCCTCTTTTTTAGGAGGGGCCTGATGACCGCCGTTTTCAAGGCCATTGGGAATGTTCCAGATTCAAGAGACATATTAACTATTTGTGTAAGTGAAGGTAAAAGACTCCTCAGAACTGACTTGAGAAATCTAGGAGGTAATACATCCAGGCTGCATGTGGAGGAACTCAGACTAGTGATTATCTCCTGGACAGTTTCAATTTGTACTGGTGTAAAGTGCGTCAGCCCAAAAAGCCTCACTGGCGGTTGGATTATTATTTCTATCGTGGAGGTGATGGCGTTTTTGATACCTTGGACTTTGTCATTAAAGAACTGAGCAAACTCATTACATTTAGATTTGGAAGTAAGTTCTGATGGCATCTTAACAGGGGGATTCGTCAATCTATTTACTGTTGAAAACAGAACACGTAGATTGTTGCTACAGCCTTCAATAGTTTCAGAAAAGTACATTTCCCTCGTTCTACGTAGTTCCCTGTTAAAATTGCACAACGCATCTTTGAAGATCTCATGGTCAACTTTGAGATTTGACTTTCGCCACTTCCGCTCGGCCTTCCGGCACTCTCTCTTCTGTGCCCTGACCGAGTCTGCTTTAGTCCATGGCGCTTTTTGCTTGTTTGTAACTATTTTAACCTTTACAGGAGCAATTGTATCCAGAACATTCAAAACAGTGGTGGTGACAGAATCAAGTAATTCATCTACAGTAACACACAACGTGTTCTCAAAGTTTACCCTCCCCATGAACAGTTCGCCTGTATTATCATTTATGTGTCTTCTTCTAACAACCGAAGATTCAGCTGGTGGTTTACAATCAAGACACATGTCAAAAAATACACAGAAATGATCAGACAGAGCAACATTGACCACATTTACATTTGAAATATTAACCCCCTTGGTAATTAACAGATCGAGAGTGTGTCCTCTGCTGTGGGTGGGGCCACTCACATGCTGAGTGAGACCAAAGGTTTCCAGCACAGAGCTCAGCTCTATTGCATATCTATCATTAGCATTATCTACATGTATATTGAAATCACCTACAATGACCAAACCATCAAAATCTGTGCACACAACTGAAAGCAACTCAGTGAAATGATCAGTGAAACTATGGCATGACTGTGGCGGCTTGTACACAACAATAATAAGAATGGAAGAAGATTTCTTTTGTTCTATTTTAAAAGAAACATACTCAAATGATGAACATTTCCCAAGAGACACTCTATGGGAGACAAATTTGGTGGTGAGGCTTCTATTAAAACTGCATCTCCTGTATTATGGTCAAGCCATGTTTCAGTCATAAACATAAAATCAAGATCATACGAACAGATAAAATTATTAATTAAAAATGATTTGTTGCATAGTGATCTGACATTAAGTAGAGCAAGGTTAAAATTAATATCAGTGTCAATGGGTTTAGTTGATTGATTACAAAGAACTGGAATTAGATTTCCAGAGTTGGACCGTCTAACTGCTGTCCTTCTTTTAAATTTGTGTTTATTCAAGTTAAAACACATTTCTGAGCTGGTGCGAGAAACACACACAGTCTCTATTGGTTTAAAAAGTGAACTCTGTTGTACTTTGTTAAGTTCCAGATGCATAACTGAGTCAGCACAGTTCAGTGGCAGGACTGTCGTTACACTGCCAGACTGACAGGGGTCAGTGTTTGCACCACAGTACTCACCCGGTGCTGGTAAGGAGGAGGAGGAGGGGGGTGGTGGGGGCCGAGAAGCCTCGGATGTAAACAGTCACGCCCCCCTCGGGGAGCACTGAACAACATGGCGTAGGAAGTCCGTCAACAAACTGGTGCCGTATCTGTTCGGGTGCAGACCATCTGGACGATAGGCCACGTGACGCTTCCAGAACAGGCCAAAGTTGTTCACAAAAATAAAGTTAAAAGTGCTGCATGTAGACTGGAGCCACATGTTGAGCGCCACAACGCGACTGTACAAGCAGTCTCCCCGGTTTTACAGTCGGGACTGGACCAGAGATAAAAACACACAACCCGAAGGACTGGAGGAGGCGGAATAGATCCATAAAATGCTTCTTTGTGACCTCGGACTGCTGCAGCTTCATGTCGTTGATCCCCACATGCACGATTACCTTTGAAATGGTATCAGGCAGGGACTGAAGCAGAGGAGGGAGACGGATGAGCAGGTCTGGAACAGTGGCTCCGGTAATGCAGTGAGTGACCGCGTTAAAAAAGCGGACGTGTCTCACGATGGAATCTCCAACAATCAAAGTAGTCGGGGCGAAGAGTGGACGCGGCCGCGGAGAGGGCGCTCGGTGTCCATGGCCAGAACCAGCGGGCTCATCCAGGGATGGGTCCGAACCAGGGCGCTGCTGAACACATGGAGAGGAGTGGGGGTGTTGATTCCCAGCTCCGGGCAACCCACGCTGTGTGCTCGGGGACGCTGGAGCGGCGTGAGGAGCAGGCTCGGGTCGCTGCTGCTGACCCGGTGAAGGTAAGTGGTGGTGATGCACTGGGGTCAGAGAAGGGGAATGATCACTCTTTCGTCTGAGGACAGCTTCCTTTAAGAGTGTCTTTCTCGCAGTGGACCTGGATCCACGGACAGCAGTAGAGTTTGCTGCAGAGTCCAGGGGTTCTGCTGAGGGGGCTGGAATGTCAGCGGAGAGGGCTGCATAGCGGTTTGAAAGGCTCAGGACATGGGCCACGGCGCTGGATGGCTCCTCGCAGTCCGCAGGCTCTTTATTCCGAACCGGGCACTTAGGTGTAGAGCAAGAGGGCCCAGAGCTGACAGATCTCTCCCACACGACAGTGTCACAGTATGCAGCGCTCAGTGACATAAGCCGTGAGTGCTGCCCGCCAGCGTGTTTCGATTGGGTCTTTGTGTTAAAAGACGTGATGCTCTGGAACCATTAATAAAACACTAGAGTGTACAAAAGACACTAATACACCGTAAAAACGTGTTTAAAAGGCTTTAAAAGGCTTAAAAAAGGGTAAAACAGAGCAGAAACGTCAAAACGCGTGCTCACTCGCGTGCTCTGTGTGTGTGTCGTTGTTTGCTACGTATTATAAGATGGTTACTAAGGCAAGCTGGAGTTTAGTGCATGACCGAAGGCATCTGAATGGTCAATCCTTACATGGCTTATTCCATCTACAGTATATATACAGTCTATCGCTGGTATCATTGTATCAAAAACGTTTACATCCAATGATTTCATGGAAGCTGCAAGACTCACGGCCAACTCAACAATCACTGATGTCTCTTTGCATGCCACACCATCACTACTCATTCCTCAGACTGCGAATCTCCATCTTGAGAGCACGGCGATGACACATGAATTCTCACTCACAGCATCCAATCTATCATCTTAATTACTTCCATTTCCATATCGCTATCTGTTTTTTTTATGTAGCAAATTAATTTACACCTCAGACAAATTGCTTGTCCTTGACTTCCTTATCCCTTGTGAAAGAAGCCACCCACAGAGAACGTTGGGGTTGTGTTAAGTGTGCAACCCCACAACCAAACCTAATCTGTTGCTCGCTCCATCCATCCCGGTGTGCACGATTGAATTAGCATGGGAGACAAAGTGCCTCACACGCTCCAATAGGGAAAATAAATAATAATAATACATGAGAGAGTGCGGCGATTAGATTGGACACATCAATCAAGTGTGACGAGAGGGAACAGCAGACGAGGAAGCAATGTTTTATGGGGAAAAAAAACTAAAAGGTGTGTCACTGTGTGTGGCTTGTGCCATTGGCAATAACCTTGTAAGATTTTAAGACGTGAAAAGTACAGCTGCTTATAGAATGGGTTTGACATGGAGCATTTGTGAGGTATATTAATATCACAGATGCATTTACAGTAAGTGCTATTATCAATAGGGAATTGTAGTTATATAATAAGTAAGTGTGTACGTTTATTTTCTATATCACCTTTAACATTTATATATTGCGCACAGTGATAAGGAGCCATACAGGAAGCGCATACAGGACCTTTTGTACATGTTTTTAGTGGTAGCAGAAACCAGAGCACCAGGAGGAAAATTACGCTAAGGAAGAGAACATGCAAACTCCACCCAGACAGGACGTATCTGGAGATGTCATCAAATCCAGCACCCGCTCGCCTGTTCCTCGTTTTCAAAACAGTTCTGAGGTCTTCCGCCTTCTTCTTACATGGATTGTTGTAATAGATAGTTATTTTTTGTGGTTTCAAATTGAGGTATGCCAAGTTTATTGTTGTAGAAACATATTTACATATTCATGAATCTGGTTAATACTGAACCATTTATTGTTTTATCAAGCAACTAATTCAAGAAATCTATCTGAATGTGCCATGTTCTTATTCCTTTTAGAGTAGAGGTGAGGCATGTTCTTTGTTCTTGTGTTTGTGGGGGTTACAGTATGTGAGGGTTTGAAGAGAAATGAAGCTTTCACGCAGCGTACCTTTAACATACATCTCCATGAAAAGCCACAATGGAGATATAGTTGGTTTTGTTGAATAAATATGCATTTATACAGCGAGAGTCACCCGCAGAGGCGTGTGATGAAGTATACAGGGGGACTCATACCTAAGTGCACTACACCACAGGTATAATGAAAAGTACAAATGCATGAATTCATGAGGTGGGTAGAGAAATAGGTACTTATTTTCCAATTGACTGCTACACATTTTTCAAACAGCAGAATTTGTTTTGCAATGGCCTTCAATATCACACGGTTAGAATGCCTGGATTGTCATTCAAGAGCAAAACTGTGCAAATTCTACAGAAACTATACTGGCATTGTTGTGGAAATGAGTTTTGCTTCACCAATAGTTTTTAAAAAGCCCTTCCCTTGGCTCGCAAAGTCGTTCCGGGATCACAGGCCAGTGGATCAGTGTGAACGTAACGCACACAAAGCCTTGGGAGACAAAAGGAGGGCTGCACCTGAGTATTGTAACTACGTATGAACCGCCATTTATCAACACTAATGTGAGCAATAATGAAAAACAAAACACTGCACCTGAGCACAGATACTACAATGTGTTGCCTCTAATTTGTGAATACATTTTTAAACAAATACATGGCACCAAATCAAATTACATACAAACAGGTAGAGCCTATAGCCAGAAGAAAATAGATCCATTTAGACAACATAAGATAAATGAATTTTTTTGGACTTTTCTTAAATGTGATAAATGTGTCACGGGGTGGGGTGAGTGAGGACTCAAACGCCGGAATGCCAAAATAAAGATTTAATAAAATAAATTCCAAGGTAAAAAAACAAAACACCAAAGCAACCAGGAACACGGGAACAGGACAGAACAGACCTTGACAAGACAAGACAATGAACCCGCAACAAGGGGAGAGAAGCACAGGGTACATATAGACACACACAGACACAGGTGAAACACACCAGGGTGGGGCAGACAATCAACAGGGGAACAGGACATGAAGTAAAACTGAAATGAAACCAGAGAACTAATGTCAAAATAAAACCAAATACAAAAATAAAATCCACACCATGACAAAATGTTGAGAAATGAAAACAAGGCAGCGGCAATTGCACCTGTACCAAGGTTTATTTCGAGTCCCTCCGGATTAAACAAGGGGGACGAGGCTTTTTATATGATTTGTCTCAATGTGTTTAAGAACAGAAGATGTCATCACTTGAGATATAAATTATGCATGCTTAAGATATAGATACCGTAGTAATAATGTGCTTCAGATAGTAATGTATGTACAGATATAACAGGAGTCCACAGAACAAAATATATAGGTTAGTTTCCACATGAAAGATTAAAAGATACAAACGTTTAACAATTCTTAATACCATATACCATACTATTACATTATGTTATAACCTAGCAAACAGCAATATATGTTTGAAATGAAGCTTCTACTGCTATTGGGGGAGTGTGGAGGAGGACTGGTATTTCTGGTGCACACCCAGAAGATTATCAGCAGATGATATACAGTAATATCTTGAAGACTGGTGGATGTGCCTGGCCTGAGTCTACAGATGAGTGTGCGTGTTTGTGTGTGTGTGTGTGCGTGTGTGTGGATGTGTATCGTATGGGGGGAGGAGGGCAATGCCATAATAAATCCCTACAGGAGACAAGCGAGCCCTGCTGAGCTCCTGTAATGAAGCTCTGCCCTGCCATCACTCCCTGACCTAGTGGCATTAAGGAAAAATGGAAACTATTACCTTCAGCCTTCACCTCGGTCAACATACCAGAGCAGACTGAGGCGAGAGGAGGGTGCACAGCGGGACGTTCATGACAGACACAGGGCCTAATTTACAAGAACTCCAAACCATGAACTCCTTCAGTAGATACAGTAGTGGACAGAGACCATTCTGAGTCTGAGGTCTCATTCTAAAGGCGCCGTGATTGGCTGTACAAGTGCAGGTTGAGTGTTGTTGCATTTCTATACATCTCGGCATGATTCCCCTAAGTACATTGTAGCCTGAATGCATCTTATTACAAGTGTCTTTGTTGGTTGCGGAATCCCAGCAGTGTATATCCTTCTATTTTCTATCTGCTTTTATCCATAATGCAAAGAAGATTCTACAGGGAACATACCCAAGGGGACAAACAGCATGTCTTGAGAGTTGATTCTCTGCAAATTATGTTTCAAAACAGTGTGTGTATAAAGGGTTTTTGTCACTGCTGGCAATATTCTTCACTGTTGGTTTGGTGCTTTTGTTTGAGTGCCTGGAAATAAATTTGATCAGCAGATCTCTGAATTAAGTTCGCTACAGGAGGCAGAGAGAGAACATGGATACTACTGATTTACTACGGCTATGCTACTGATGGGACAGTTGTGATCTGACAATTGCTGTGGCCTTATTTACTCTTTATTTGTTTTTACTGCAAAAAAAAAAAAAATAATACTGAAATTGGCCTTTACCCAAAAACACTTTCTGACCATACAGCTCCCTTCATGCCATGTTGTGGAACCAGGCAAAACCAAAACGTTTTGATGGGCCAAAGAAATAAACGGACACTCCCCCCTCCGAGTTGAAAAGTACACTCATTTCATAAACAAAGACAGACTGAGGAATTTTCCAGATTTCACATGTTTATCTTGTTACTCACACAAAAAATAGGGTTAAGAAATAGGATTAACCCTTGTATTATGTTAAGGGTCAATTTGACCCATTTCAGTTTTTGTGTTGATCAAAGTACTTGTTATCCTTTCTTTTTCTTGCTGAAATTTGGTGACTTTTCCTCATCTAGGGTCATGAACTGGTGTGTAAAATTTGGACACTTTGATGTGTAGTGGAATGTCTGTGCAGAGTTTGTATACAAAGATGATGTTGGGGGTCATTTTGACCCAGACGCTTTAATGTGGGTAAATAGTTGTTCAGATCCAAAAAACATGTCTCTTTGACATTGTATTTTGATTGCCTCTGAGACCCAGAGCCAGGTGTGTGAAGAGAGGGAACTTTCTCACACTTGTCCTTGTCACTGTCCTCATGTCATCTCTTTTGCGTAGCGTACGTTGGATAGGAAACTGAATATATCCGTCGCCTTTGAGTTGCTGCCCCGCACACAGCGACAATGTGGCGAAAACGGGCAACAGTAGCAGGCCAGTCTCGAGAATAACAGCGCGTACATCGACAGCAACTGGCCGTTGACTACAGTGTTTTTTCTGGCATAAACTGTAGAGAGCGCGCAATACACGCAAT